GCTAGTGTGAGAATTGCTGTGCACAGTAAGGACTGGGGATACAGAGGGAGGGTATTTGCTCTCACAAGTGCCCGCCTCTCACCTTTACTCCTCCCACTGAGTCATCAAACCTCCCGCTGGTTTGAATTCTGGCACCACCCTTCTGCTGCTGAGTTCCTTGGTCACTTACAGCCATCTTTGTTTGTTCAATGAGGCTGCTCCACAGTCAATGTCATCTTTGTGCTGGTCTTACAGCCCACACTGTCAAATCCAGGGGCATATCACACAACCTGAGACAGTCTTGTGTTTCCATCTTTGATATTTGTGTAATAACGTCTTGACAATGCTTCAATTCTGACCGTCCCAGGTTTACTTTGAATATTGGAACCAAATCTGACTCGTGTGGATTTTCATCAAACTTGCCCCTGTTAACAGTTCAGCAAATCGGACTCTTATCTCTGAAACTATTGTGTTTCTGAGGTGCTGCTTTCCTTCCCTTTCTGTGCATGTTTCTGAAAGTTAAAATTCAGCCATTGCTGTCAACATAGCCATCATGTTATTTTCACTCATGCCTTAATTGATTGGATTTGATTTATTATTGTCATATGTATCCAAGACTAGTGCAAAGTTTTGTTTTGCATGCAGTACAAACAGATCATGCCATACAAAGTGCATTAGGTTAATAGAACAGAGCGAGGAATACAATGTTACGGCAGCAGAGAGGGTGCACAAAGAGCGAGGTCAACATTAAATTTAAAATTTGAGAGGTCCATTCAAAAGTCTAAAAGCACAGGGGAAGAAGCTGCTCTTAAATCTGTTGGAGTGTGTGTTTAAGCTTTCGTATCTTCTGCCCGAAGGAAGTATTTGAAAGAGATAATAGCTGGGGTGGGAGGGGCTTTGATTATGCTGGCTGCCTTCCCGAGGCAGTGGGAAGTGTAGATGGAGTCAATGGATGGAAGGTTGGCTTGCATAATAGACTGAGCTGTGTTCACAACTCTCTGTAGCTTCTAAAGATCCTGGGCAGAGTGGCTGCCATACCAAGCTGTGATTCATCCAGATAGAATGCTTTGTATGGTACATTTATAAAAATTGGTAAGAATCTTTATGGACATGCTGAATTTCCTTAGCCGCCTGAGAAAGTAGAGGTGTTGTTGTGTTTTCTTGATCATGGCGTCAACCTTTGGGTTTTGACTTAGTGGCATGTGGATTTTGGTCATTATCGGTGAGGAATTTAATCAATAACTTTTCAATCTTTTTTGGAATCATGTTTTTAAACCAGAATATGTCAGACAGCAGTCACTTGTGGAGCATCCTAGAGTGATCATGTGAGTTTGTATGACTTGGAGACAGTAGAGACTGCAGATGCTGGAAGCTAGAGTCAGTAAATGTGGAGCTGGGAATGCGCAGCAGGTCAGACAGTATCCAAGGAGCAGGAAAGTCAGTGTTTCTGACCGAAACTCTTCGAGTCTTGACAAAAGGTTTCGACTCAAAACATTGACTTTCCCACTCCTCGGATGTTGTCTGACCTGCTGTGCTTTTCCAGCTGCACATTTATTGACCCTAATGAGTTTGTGTTGTGAGAGGTTTACAATCGGGGACAGTAAAAACTAGAATACATTCGCTTGTTTTTTGTTTTGAAGAATCAAGAATTGATTGTATTGCATAAGAAACTCCATGTAATGGAAAGCTTTGTTGGCAGTTCACAAAAGAACTAGGTGGGGTTAGGTATTAGAAGACTTTCTCCTGGAGAAAGAATTAGTTCAGAAAAGTATTGTTCCATCAAAACCCTGTGAAGAAGTTATTTGAAACTGAGAAGGTCTAAGCTCAGTTATATGGCTGATCAAAGAAGAGACTATCAAACTCTCAATCCCAGGAATCAAAATAAATAATTCAATCAAGCCTGTAGTCATGATATTGAAGGGAGCTCTCTCTGGTATTTGAGGACTGTAAAGGAATGGTGTGGGATAAATGGAATTTCATTTCGCTGTCTGCTTTGAAATCTTTCAAATTGTATAATTCACTTGGTTTGTTTTATTTTGCCTTCATTTCTTTAATGTAATAACCTTCTGTTTTAAATTTAAAACCAAATCTGCAGCCTCGTGAGCTTATGTTTCAGTGAAGTACTACTGTGTTAAAGAAGGAAAGAAAACACAATCTGATCTATCAAGCCAGATTTCAGTCTGGGACCTGACTAGTCCAGTAGTAACATTACTTTGGTTCTGTTATTTTCACATATCAACGTCATAATGGTGATTTGTGATTGGGGAAGTTCACTGTTACCAATCCTTCTTTCTCTAAGCTAGGTCTAAGCACCGGTGTAATTGATCAATTACAGAGATATACCACTCTAGAGTCTTAACAAGAAGAGGAACTTGTCCTACAAAATAATATTGTGTAGTTTGTTGCACGATAACTATCAATACAATTCACATTAACTAGTCAGACATAATTACAGGCATCAGGAGCCAGGTATGTCATATTTCTCTCCATCAGAATTTCACACAGGACTGTCTATTTCTGCACCCAGAGACTGTGCTATCATCAGGTTGGTTGGAGCTAATGCAATTTCAACATTCACTCTTTCAGAACTATTATCTGACACAACAGACAGACAACACTGTCTTAGTCAAACGACAGTATAACTTGCATTTATATGGCTTCTTGTATGTGGTAAAATGCCTCACAATTCTTCTCAGGGGTATTATCAGATAAAATTTGACGCCAAGTGAAATGAAGAGAAATTTGGGTAGCTGGCCAAAGGGAAAATTGGTCAAAGATCTAGGAATCAAGGAGCATCTTAAAGAAGCTGAGGCAGAGACAGGTAGGTTCAAATTCCAGAACTTAGAGTCCAGGCATCTGAAGGTACAGCCATTAAAGCCAGATACACTCAAGTGAACAAACTTTGAGAAGCACACAGATCTCACACAGCTCGGGGCCGGATGCACTTATAGATCAGAGCAGTCAAGGACATGGAAGGATTTGAAAGCATGAGTGAGATTTTAAAATTGAGATGCTGCTTAATAGCGAGACTGGATGAGTCAGCGCACACCGTTGTGATGCGTAAATAGGACTTGGGCAAAGACATACACAGATAATTCATAATTTAAAGCTCTACAGGTGATTTTTTGCCGGGAATTAATTCAGAGGAGTGTGGCATTGCTGAGATCCTAATGTATCCCACTGTATTCATGACACAGTGTGTAGAGAATACGTGCAAGATTGATAGGCAGAGACTAGAATCTAAAGCAACAGAAAACTAAATGATGGCCCAATCTAGTGAATTAAGTTGTTTTGAAGCAGAACTCATTACTTTTTGGTTAATTAGGGACAAAATCACAGGAATGGTTCCTTCTCCCGATCAGTATCTGTTGAAACCTATTGAAGAGAGCAGGATATGAGTGCGTTAGGTGAGGGCAGAATCAGAATTGAACTCCTTCAAATAAGATAAATAGACACGAAAACCGAAATTTCTGGAAAAACTCAGCCAATCTGTGGAGAGAAATAAGGTGATTTTATATGAGAAACCTCTCAAATGTTTTTGATTCCAAAATATTTTAGCTTGGAACTGGAGGAACACAGCAGGCCAGGCAGCATCATGGGAGCAGGAAAGTTGACGTTTTGGTTCGGGACCCTTCTTCAGAAATGGGGGAGGGGGAAGGAAGAACAGAAATAAATAGAGAGGAGGGGTTGGGCTGGGGAAGGTAGGTGGGATGGTGATAGGTGAGTGCAGGTAGGCAGTGGTCAGGATTGGTCAGTGTTGTGGGAGTAGCGGATAGGTGGGAGAGAAGATGGACAGGTTGTGTCAGGTGAAGGAGGCAGGGATGAGACGGAAGGTTGGACATGTTATGAGGCCGGGGATGGGAGATTTTAAAGCTGGTGAATTCCCTTCTCCCTCCCCATTTCTGAAGAACGGTCCTAACCTGAAACTTTCCTGCTCCTCTGATGTTGCCTGGCCTCCAGCTCCACACTGTGTTATCTCTGACGCCAGCATCAGCAGTTCTTGCTATCTCTGATATGTTTGTTTGCCATGCTTCAATGTCCTCAATAAATGAACTTGGGATATTTGAGAAGTCATTTTGGTTTCAGTTAGAATGCAGTGTTTAGTTATCCTGCTTTAAGGAGACATTTGTGTAAGGGAGGCAAGCAAAGGGGATTTTCATGTATTACTGAGCAAAAATAGGAAGTGGTTTGGTCTTCTAGAATTCGATGTGCTGATGGGAAGTGGAAATATGGAAGCAAACGAGAAAAAAATTTAAGGAAATACTAACTCCCTATATAAATTATAAAAAGATCAGGGCTATCTTCATATAAACACAACAACATTTATGATTTTGCAAAACACTGGACTTCTGTGTAATGATAACATGGAGAATAGAGCAAACATGAGAGAAAGGAATTTGAAGCAATCGCCATGTAGCTGACATGTGGCTCAGTGGTTAGCACTGCTGCTGTGCAGTACTGTGGACCCAGGTTCAATTCTAGCCTCAGGTGATCATCTGTGTGGAGTTTGCATATTCTTCCTGTGTCTGTGCAAGTTTTCCCTGGGTGCTCTGGCTTTGTCCCATACTCCAAAGGTGTACAGGTTAGGGTACATTGGCCAAGCTAAATGGCGCATAGTTTCCAGGGATATGCAGGTTAGGTGGGTAGCCATGGGAAATGCAGGGTTATAGGGATAGGTGAGTGGATGGCTTTCTGAGATATGGTGCAGATGTGATGGGCTGAATAGCCTCTATCTGCACTGTAGGGATTCTGTGAACCATGTTGCAATAGAATGGAGGTTATGAATGACCTCTTCCTGTTCCTATTTTATTACAGCTCAAGCTTGGTGGTTCATTAGGGAGCCCATTGTATATGCATTAAATAGAGAACACAACATCCTAGAAAGGATTGGTTTAGGTTGAAAGTAATAAGTACTGTATTGCAAATAAAATGTTAAGTATGTATTATCTTTTTAAGAGACATCCTGAGGTATTGTTAATTGCCTGTTGTTCTCTTTTCCCAGCTTGCTGTTGTGATTGATCATGGAGAGGCTCCTCTTCTCTCTGCTCCTGCTCAGTTTGACTGTGAAGGCTCAGCTTTGTCCAAAGCGCTGCATCTGCCAAAACCTCTCCCCTTCCCTCTCGATCCTCTGTGCCAAAACTGGGCTCCTCTTTGTGCCTCCATTTATCGACAGGAGGACGGTGGAGCTGCGCCTAACCGACAACTTCATTACCACGGTGAAGAGGAAAGACTTTGCCAACATGACGAGCCTTGTCCACCTCACGTTGTCGAGGAATACAATCAGCCAGATCATGCCTTTCACTTTTGGTGACCTCCGAGGTCTTCGAGCTCTACACCTGGATAGTAACAGGCTGACCAGAGTCAACCACGAGCACTTCAATGGCCTAGTCAATCTCCGACACCTGATCCTTAGCAACAATCAGCTGCATTACATTGCAGCCAACTCATTTGATGACTTTATCTTATCTCTTGAAGATCTGGATCTCTCCTACAACAACCTAGAGAATCTGCCTTGGGAAACTATTGGAAAAATGACAAATGTTAACTCCCTCAGTCTGGACCACAACCTGATTGACTTTGTTCCTGAAGGGACATTTTCCAATCTTCACAAATTGGCTCGATTGGATATGACATCCAACAAACTTCACAAGTTACCTCCTGATCCCCTCTTTCTAAGAGTCCAAATGTTTGCAAAGACAAAAGGCTCCCCACTCTCTTCTCTGGTACTTAGCTTTGGTGGAAATCCATTGCACTGTAACTGTGAGCTACTCTGGTTGAGACGCCTCACAAGGGAGGATGATCTGGAAACTTGTGCCTCGCCACCTCACTTAATGGGTAAATATTTCTGGTTCATCCCTGAGGAGGAATTTACTTGCGATTCTCCACTCATCACACGACATACTTCTAAAACGTTTGTCATGGAAGGTCAGCAGGCGACGTTGAAGTGTAAAGCAGTGGGAGACCCTGACCCATTCATTCACTGGATCTCACCAGATGAACGACTGATCTCGAATTCATCCAGGGCCATCACCCGTGAGAATGGAACCCTGCATATCCTAATTGCCACCCCAAAAGACAGTGGCACGTTCACCTGCATTGCCTCCAACGCTGGTGGCGAGGCCATGGCCCAAGTGGAGTTGATTGTGAATCCTCTACCCCATTTTGCCAACAGCACAAATAACATCAAGGAACCAGATCCCGGTTCATCTGACATCACCACTTCTGCCAAGTCAGGTTCCCCACCAGTAGCTAACGACACAAAAACCACGCAGGAGAAGAAGGTCATTGCAACTGACCTCACATCGTCCTCCGTACAGATTCGTTGGCCCTCACAGCGAAATATTCCAGGAATCCGAATGTACCAAGTCCAGTATAATAGCTCGTCTGATGATGTACTTGTCTACAGGTAAATCAATCACTTGTTATTTACCCAGCAAGAGATGGTCACAAAACACGTAGCAGAGTTAAAGACAGACTCACAAAGGAAATATTAAGGGCTCTTGTGGCACAGTTGTAGTGTCCCTACCTGTAGGTTTGAGGTTCAAGTCCCACCTGCCCAGACGTGTGATAATGTGTCTGAACAGAACATTTTAAAAATACCTGCAGAAGGAATATTTGAAAGTGTAATCTGAAAAACGGTGTCAGCTCCTCAGAAAACATACAGCGACATATCTGTGGCACATTTTTGTCATTAAATGTTTTTAATTGCAAAAATTTATTGAAAGTGTTTCATCATTTAATAAACCCAGTTATACTGGCTGCTGTCTGCCAAATGAGGCCATTTCAAACTCCCAATGCTGGTCACATTAATATTCTGTCTTACTGTTGGCTACCTTTCACCAATAAAGCTCTACCAGCTTTTATGCTGTCCAACATTCCATTGCCACTCATCAGGGTACATAAGAAGAGCAGTCAGTAGTACAACTCTTAGCAATCAGATGTCAGTGGGAGCTTAGCATTAATCATATAACATAGAAAATAGGAGAAGGTGTAGGCCATTCAGCCCTTCGAGCCTGCTCCACCATTTGATATGATCATTCAACTCAGTGCCTTGCTCCAGCTGTATCCTCATACGTTTTGATGCTTTTAGATCTAAGATAACTAACTCCTTCGTGATAACTAACTCCTTCTTGAAACATTCAATGTTTTGGTCTCAATTTCTTTCTGTGGCAGTGAAGAAATTTGTCTTTATCTCAGTCCTAAATGGCCTATTCTGTATCCTCAGATTAAGATCCCTGGTTCTGGACTCCCTGGTCATTGAGAAAATCCTTACTGCCATTTTACATTTCTGACAGAACACCACTTACCCTGATGTTCTTCTAAACTCTAGTTATTATCATCTTAACTGATCCAGCCTCCTTTCATACATCAGTCCTGCCATAAGAAACCACAAAGATGCCTTACTGCTGAGTTGTGTAATGTATTGAAACAAACAACATTGTCATTTGTGGATTCGGTTCAATAATGCACTGCACCAGTTTCTAACCTTAATCATGTGGCTAAAGCACAGAGCAGAGTCTTCAACAACAAATTGTATTTATTAAGCAGCTTCAATGTCATAAAGTGTTGCAAGATGTTTTGCAGGGAGCTTTATAAAATTACGTAAGGAAATATGAAGGCCAGTAACCAAACTCCTGGCCAAAAATCCGGGTTTCAGGGTTGAGTTCTGAGGAAGGATCATTTGACCTGGAACGTTAACTCTGATTTTTCTCCACAGATGCTGCCAGGTCTGCTGAGTTTTTCCAGCAATTTCTGTTTTTGACTGTGTTTTAAGGAGGGTTTTAAAGGAGGACAGAGATAGAAGAAGGATTAGGGAGGGAATTCCAGAGCTTAGGGCCTGGGCAGTTGAAGGCACAGCCACCAATAGTGAGTAATTAAAGTTGAGAACAGTTGTGTGGTCTAAGCTAAAAGAAAGTAGATGATCTATAAATGTTTAAATCAAGATAGAACTAATCACAGAATTTTTCAGTGATTCATTTCTTTCCCCTATACAAGATCGTGTCAGACAGTTCCCATTTTATTCAGCGTCAGAATGATTTCTGTATCTTCCCTCTCGTGAACAGTTCCCGATGAAGCCGGTTATATGAGGCTGTTTCCAACTTTCTTTGCAGAGACATTTCAGGGGAAGTGGAAAACCCTGAGCAGGCATTAGCATTAAAAGAATGAGTTTGACATCTCTATTAGTCATATAGTGCCAGCTTTAATTGATGTAGCACATCATCCCAGCAACCAAAATTTATCAACTAGGTGCCATTTGTTAAAATCTCACGGTATTACTCAGTACAATAAACAGTATCTACTTTGGACATGATACAAGAGTTTGACTTCAGCCTGCAGTGCTGTTGGGATGTGGAATCTTGCCACAACTTTGAGTGTTTTTTAACATTTTGCCAAGGCTTAAAGACTGGGGCGCAAAACATCTGCGTCCCTGCATTGAGTTGAAGCCAGTCTCCCAGTTTAACACAGATAACAAAGCATTAGCAGCAATATTCAACTCATTCATGGAGTGCCCTTCACATGCAAACCAAAGCCTTATAATTATGTAGAAGGTCGAAGTTCGGAAGTGGCAAGCTCTGTATTTTTCACTTCCTGCCTATGTAGTTTGTAGATAGTAATGAGATATGATGTATTTATCTGCAATGGATCAATGGAGCAAAATTGTAAATTGGTTGACTGTTGTGATTATCTCCAATCCGAAGGAGAGGAATTGCTTGTTAGGAGTCAAAGGAGAATGGATATTTTAAAGGCATGGAACCATGCATCGCAGAATTCCTGTAAATTGGGAAAGGATAAGGAATTGGGATTGAGACAGATAGCTCCTCTTTGAGGTAGTACTCAGACGTAATTAGGTGAGAACATCTCTGCAGTGTAAATTCAATGATGCTTATTCTTGTGCTGCCCTCATTGGCTTTCTGGCTCACAAGCGTCTCTACCCTCAGTGTCAGTGGGATCTGGGTTCCCACTTGTGAAACATTGCAGTGAGTGGGGAAACAGTGCATGTACTGCCTGTCTATTGAGCAGCAGGAGTGTTAAAACAGAACCTGTGGCTCTGTGACTGCTCAAGATTTCCTCAGGACCTTGTATAACCCAATAAGAAAGCAAATAGTCACACAGGCAGACAGCATCGAAACAGACCCTTCAGTTCAACTCATCTGTGCCAACCAGATATTCTAAATTAAAACAGTCCCATTTGCCAGGATTTGGCCTATATTCCTCTAAACCCTTCTTATTCATGTACCCATCCAGATTCCTTTGAAATGTTGTAATTGTACCAGCCTTCAGCACTCCCTCTGGCATCTCATTCCATACACGCACCACCCTCTGTGTGAAAAAGTTACCCCTCAAGTCCTTTTTAAATCTGACCCCTCTCACCTTAAACCTATGCCCTCCTGTTTTGGACTCCCCTACCCTGGGTAAAAGACCTTGACTATTCGCCCTATCCATGCCCATTGCGATTTTATAAACCTCTATAAGGTCACCCCTCATTCTCCAACGCTCCAGGGGAAAAAAACCCCAGTCTATTTAGTCTCTCCCTATAGCTCACACCCTCTAGTCCAGGCAATATCCTTGTGAATCTTTTCTGCACACACTCAAGTTTAACAAGATCTTTCCTCTTCAATTCTCCACATTTCAGTATTGCTGAGGAAAGGGACATGCTGTAAAAGTCTTTCATCTTGCACTCATCAGGACAGAGTCATGAGAATGTTGAATCTTGAAGGGAACCACAATTTATTCTGCAGAAGAAGAAAACTGCAGATGTTTTGGCAAGTCAACTCCAATGAGTTGAAGTGATGTCATGGAGAATTGTATGTATTGTTAAACATTGCATTCTGAGTTCTTCAAGCATGGATTGGTTAATTCTGTACTCTCCCCGTTGCAAACAACCAAAGAGACTTATTTTTAATTCAGTTATCAGTCATAGAGTCATATAGCACGGAAACAGACCTTTCGGTCCAACTAGTCCATGCCAAACATAATCCCAAACTAAAGTTGTCCCAACTACTTGCTCCTGGCCCATAACCCTCCAAACCTTTTTGATTCATGTACTTATCTAAATATCTTTTAAACGTTGTAATTGTGCCCACATCTACCACTTCCTCTGGAAATTCATTCCTCATGCGAACCACCCTCTGTGTAAAAATGTTGCCCCTCATGTCTTTTTCAAATCTCTCTCCTCTCACCTTAAAAATGTATCCCCTAGTCTTGAAATCCTCCATCCTAAGGCAAAGACAACTACCATTAACTCTATCTATACCCCTCATTATTTTATAAAATTCTATTAGGTCACCTCTTAACCTCCTACACTCCAGTGAAAAATGTCCCAGTCTATGTAGCCTCTCCTTATAACTCATACCCTCCATTCCAGGCAACATCCTGGTAAATATCTTCTGACTCCTCTCCAGCTTAATAATATCCTCCCTATAACTGGGTGACCAGAACTGGACACAATATTCCAATGGAGGCCTCACCAATGTCCCATACAACTTCAATATGACTTTCCAACTGCTATGCTCAAAGGACTGAGCAATGAAGGCAAGCACGTCAAATGCCTTTTTAACCATCCTGTCTATATGTGATGCAGACTTCAAAGAATTATGTACCTGAACCACATATCTGGTGTCACACTGTAACTCATATATCACACTTCATTTGAAAATTTTGTATTTTATCATTTTGCATCTGTCCCAATGAGTTCAAGACAAAAAGCATTAAAATGTGTCTCTTTTCTCTGAAAAACTCAAGTTCTGTTCTTTACATTTCCTTTCCCTAATAGCCACAGAGAGTCAGTAACTTGTTGATAATTGCAATAACCTCAATGAAAAGATGGGATCCCAAAGGATATTAACAAATCCGATGTGTTTTTACAATAATTGACAATGGTTACATGGTGGTTATTAGGCTAGTTTTTAATTCCTGATTTTTTAAAAAAATTGAATTCTAATTTCACCATCTGACTTGATGGGATTTGAATCCATGTCCACAGATTATCAGCCTGGCCCTCTGGATTTCAATGCATTTATTATCATTGTGCCTTTACCTTCCTCATGATGGAGTCAGTCCCAGCATTAAGGTAGATGGTTGTGGTTTTTGAAGTCAGTCATCTCAGCTCCAGGACATATTTGCTGGAGTTCCTCAGGGTAGCGTCCTAGGCCCAACCATCTTCAGCTGCTTCATCAATGACCTTCCCTCCATCATAAAGTCAGAAATGGAGATGTTTGCTGGTTGCACAATGTTCAGCACCATTTGTGACTCCTCAGAAACTGAAGCAGGTCATCCAGGGATATGCTGCCCATTCATTAATGCGAAGGGTCCCAACCCGAAACGTCGACTTTTCTGCGTCTCTGACACTGCCTGACCTGCTGTGTTCCTCCAGCTCCACACTCCATCGACTCTGACTTCCAGCAT